TGTGTATACACACACACACACACACATATATGTATATGTATATGTATGTATGTATGTATATATGTATACACAAAAAAATCTGGACACCCACGACTAAAACAGATAAACAAATATAAAGCCAACAGTTGTGATAGTCTTACCTGCAATCAACAGTCATAAGACTTATAAGAATTGCTGTACATGTATTGTGCTCTGAAGCATTACAATATGATACACAACTTAATAGAATTTATAAACCAAGGTACAACGTCATCTCCGGATTATTTACCAACGTTTCAAAAAATGAATCTTCTTCAGGAGATATTATAGAGGTGCCAAAGCTCTCACTTTCATAAAAGTTAGACAACAAGTCTTAAGCATCTGCAACATAATAATTTTATCTTTGTTATGAACACATACAAGATATTTCAAAATATTTCAAATTACAACTAATCAACCTAGTAGTAACTCACATCACAATTCAGATAGGACGCTGATCTCAATTAACACGCAGTGTTTTTTTCTGGATCCTGGGCGTCTCTCTCTGGTGTATGTTACCAGAGTGCAATTAAAGGGACCTTGCAAATTGCTTCAGAGCACAATACATGTACAGCAATTCTTATAAGTCTTATGACTGTTGATTGCAGGTCAGACTATCACGACTGTTGGCTTTATATTTGCTTATATGTATACACACACACATATACATACACACACACACACATATATATATATATACACAAAAACCTTTTATAAGTGTATTTTGGATGTGTGTCAGTGCAATATAGAGAATAGTGACCACTGAGGAAGGCCCGAAGGGGCCGAAACGCATTTGGTCCTAAGTTAAAGAGTGCTTACCCGTCAAGTGTATTTGTTATTAGAAAAGCTTTTAAAAGTCTGGAATGTAGACTCTTTCTTTTAATCATAGTATGTTTTAACATGTGTACACCTTAATAAACATTTGCATTTTTTATATTCTATAGTGTTAGCTTGACCCTCTTTGTTCACAGATATATCTTGAGTTGAGTCACACACACACCCCAGTTTTTGTGCGGTATAACCAACCTGCAGTTAGGCAGCTGTAGGCATTTGTCTGGGATAGTAGTTGTACGCTTTACCAGCAGATGGGGTGGTCAGTGTACCACCAGCAGTGCCCTGTTGCATCTTACGCTGCTGCCGGGGAACAGCGAAGTATACAGCCAGAGGAGAGTGAATTCCCAAAGATTTCCAATGGTAGACCAGATGTGTGCATAAGAGCTGCAGTGGGTTTGGGGTGAAATGTGAGATTTGGGAGGCACAGCAGCCAGAGGCTTTTGAGAACTGCCTGCATTACCAAAGAGCTTTGTCTGAAGGCCCTGATAATAGCGTAGCTCTGACCGGGTATCCCGCATGGTCTTCACACCTCCCTCTTCCCTCCTGTCCCCTTCAGGGTTCTGCTGAGTCCTACACCAGTCGCCCGTCTGACTCTGATGTGTCGCTGGAGGAAGACCGTGAAGCCCTGCGCAAGGAAGCAGAGCGCCAAGCCCTGGCACAGCTAGAAAAAGCAAAGGTGAGCAGAGGTGTATTCGAGAAGTGCAAAGGCGGGGGGGCTTTCAGAGTACTCTACATGCTGAAGCAAGCCACTTGCTTGACTGGGCTTCAGCAGGTGAGGATCACACCTAAGCAATGCTCCCTCTAAGCTGAGGAGTCTTTTGAGCAAAAATTCTACTTTGTGAGCTACTGGCATTAAAGTTGTGAGCAAGCCATTTGGCTACTGCATAAATTAGTTTGCTCTGGAGCCACCCTTCCTGAGCTAAGACAAAAATGTGTGAGCTGGAGGCTAAAAAGCTGTGAGCTAGCTCACGCTAACTCAGCTTAGAGGGAACACTGCTCCTAAGGGTCACTGTTTGTGGGGCACGACAGACCGGCAAAATACCATCTGGTTTAGATTGTATATCCTCCACAACGTAATAAAGAAAGCAGGCTGTATGCGTGTCCTATATTATGTAAACAAAGGGATTCCTAACATGGGACTGTTTCGCATTCTCATCTTTCTTGCTTGTAAGTTCCCGTTTCTTCTGGGCGGGGGGAGTCTGTTCTGTACGCATTTTGCTCCCTCAGTTTAAATCTGCAGAAAGATGATATCCCGGGCATAAACCAGTGTAGTATTGAATCAACCACTAGAGGGAGCAAAAACACACATGGAGCAGAGCCCCCTCCCAAGAAACAGGAACTTACAAGCAAGGAAAATGAGAATGCTGAAAAGCCCATGGTTGTGAGTAGGCCAAGTGAGCTGCCTGCTTCCCTGGTATCTTCTGTCCTGTCCCTTCTTTCAAAAGGCTACTCTTCAGAATTTCCACTTCCCTCCATTTTGAACTGGAGGGACCGTTAAATCTTTCCGCAAGAAGGGAGAGGGGCTGTCGCCGACCACAGCTCTGCTCACAAAAAGAGCATTTAAAGGGTCTTTTCATGAGCAGGGTGGGGTCCGTGGTGCACGGGGCTGATTTCCCAGTGGTGATTCTCTGCTTGGGATTCATGCCCGCGCACTGCGGCCCCCACCCCTCTCGCAAAAAGACCCTTTAAAGGATCTTTTTGTGAGCGGAGCTGCAGCCAGCGGCCACCCCTCTCCCTCCCTGCTGAAAGATTTAAAGGGCCCCTCAGCTGATTGGCGGGCCATGTGCTCCCCGCCCATCAGCTGAAGCCCTTTAAATCTCTGCAGGAGGGGTGGGAGCAGGGTGGCCGTGGCTTGAGACAGGGCTTGGGGTGGGGGTTCCCCCCACTGGCCAACTGGCCGACAGTGGATTAGAGCTCCCAAAAGCGGGGGAACCCACCTGGCCCTGGGAGCTGGCAACCCTAGTCCCAGTAACCATCGGGAGCTTGTTTGGTGGCAATAAACAGCTTTCAGGATTAGGGTTGCCCTCTCTGGGTTGGGAAATACCAGGAGATTTTGGGGGGTGGAGCCCGGGCAGGGCTTGGGGAGGGCATGGAGCTTGGCAGGATGTAGTGCCATAGAGTCTGCCCACCAAAACAGCCAGGGCCTTTTCAGTGGCAGCTCCTACCTGGTAGAATGAGCTTCTGGAGGAGATCAGGGCCCCGGGGGACCTCCCTCTCACAGTTCCGCAGGGCCTGCAAGATGGAGCTCTTCCACCAGGCTTTTAATTAGGAGTCGCCACTACCACCACCACCAACCATCCTGTGATAACAACGGAGCAATGGGATGGCCCAATAGAAGATCACTACAGTACCGTGATGGATCGGTGCCGCCGAAATGGGCTCTGGGTTCACTTGACTAAAATAAGAACATCACGGAGCACTTTATTAATGTTCATTGGTTGTTTTTACTCCGATTTTAATGTTTTATATTTGGCACTTGGTGCCCTTGTTGTGAGCTGCCCTGAGCCTGCAATGCAGGGAGGGCGGGATAAAAAATGTAAGAAATGAAATGAAATTTTCTCCAGGGGAACGGATCTTGGTCACTTGGGGATCAGTTGTAATCGCAGGAGATCCCCGGGTGCCATGTGGAGGTAGGGGACCCTACAGGAATTTCCCCATTTTGCCCCCTTTAGCCAGCTCTGCCCCCTGACCTCACTCAGCCTTGACTGTACCGCTTCCGTTCGGCTCATGTTTTCGGAATTGTATTAATGACGATCAGTCTTACAGTGTAGCGCTCGACGTCCGTTAAAACCCTCAGGATGTCACAGTACGCGGACTGTTTGTTCAGCCAAATAAAGCATTCTGATTTTAAAAAAAGAAAAGGCTGAAATCGTCTGGTCTGGTGGAAACCAACAGAGATGGCCACCGCTGCTTTGTGTGTTTGCAGTCAAACTTGACATGGTGGCACACTGAGTCTCTTGAGTAGTGTGGGGAAACATGCGCTCAACATACAGGAAGCCTGAATGTTTTCCCCAAGCAGGCCCGTAGCTAACACGGGGCCCAGTGTCTTCCCTAGTTTAGTGAGCCAGATTGGTGTCGTTGTTAAGTGCACAGACTCTATCTGGGAGAACCAGGTTTGATTCCCCACTCCTCCACTTCCACCTGGCTGGATGACCTTGGGCAAGCCATAGTTCTGATAAGAGCTGTCCTTGAAAAAGAGCAGTTTCTGTCAAGAGCTCTCTCAGCCCAACCCACCTCACAGGGTGTCGGTGGTGGGGAGGGGAAGGGAAAGGACTTTGTAAGCCGCTCTGAGACACCTTCGGGTAGTGAAGGGTGGGGTATAAATCCAATCTCGTCCTCTTCACTTCTTAGCTTGGCCCTCATTTATACTGAAGCCTTAGAAACATATCAGTTGCGAACTTCTGTTTGGAACGCTCACTCACTCTGTCCAATAAGAAAGACATTTGATGTCACACTTGTTGCTTGCTTGCTTGCTTGCTTGCTTGCTTCCTTTCTTCCTTTCTTCCTTTCTTCCTTCCTTCCTTCCTGCCTTCCTTCCTGCCTTCCTGCCTTCCTTCCTTCCTTCCTTCCTTCCTGCCTTCCTTCCTTCCTTCCTTCCTTCCTTCCTGCCTTCCTGCCTGCCTTCCTTCCTGCTTTCCTTCCTTCCTTCCTTCCTTCCTTCCTTCCTTCCTTCCTGCCTGCCTGCCTGCCTGCCTGCCTTCCTTCCTTCCTTCCTTCCTTCCTTCCTTCCTTCCTTCCTTCCTTCCTGCCTGCCTTCCTTCCTGCTTTCCTTCCTTCCTTCCTTCCTTCCTTCCTTCCTTCCTTCCTCCCTTCCTTCCTTCCTGCCTCCCTGCCTGCCTGCCTGCCTGCCTGCCTGCCTGCCTGCCTGCCTGCCTTCCTGCCTGCCTGCCTGCCTGCCTGCCTTCCTGCCTTCCTTCCTTCCTACCCCAGCCCTGCACTTCAGGAGAAACTCCTGTACTTTGGCATTAGTGTGATGACTTGTGCCCTAATTTAGGTAGCACAGGCTAGCCTGATCTCATAAGATCTTGGAAACTAAGTGGGCCAGCTCTGGTCAGTATCCAGTTCTCCCTCTAAGCTGTGCAGTCTTGTGAGCAAAAATTCTACTTTGTGAGCTACTGGCGCTGAAGTTGTGAGCTATTGATTTGGCTACGCCATAAATTAGTTTGCTCTGGAGCGACTGAGATAAGGCAAAAACGTGTGAGCTGGAGGCTAAAAAAACGGTGAGCTAGCTCACACTGACTCAGCTTAGAGGGAACACTGCACCACCAAGGAAGTCCAGGGGTGGGACGCAGAGGCAAGAAATGGCAAACCACTGCTGAACATCTCTCGCCTTGAAAACCCTACAGGGTCACCAGGCGTCAGCTGCCCCTAGATGGCAAAAAGAAAAAAAAAATGACGAACGGGTAGGGTTCCATGGGCAATCATCACTGTGGTGCTTGAATCCATCTTCCTGCCCTCTTAACTGGCCTAGTAGGATAATTTAATGAGTGGCTTCTCCGAAAGTCCAAATACCATGTCTGTATATCTAGCTGCGGTGGCTCAAGGGGTTAAGACGCTGAACTGCAGGCTGTGGAAGGTCGGTAGTTCAGCAGTTCAAGACCCGAGTTGCCGCATGACGGAGTGAGCTCCCGTCTCTAGTTCCAGCTCCTGCCAACCTAGCAGTTCGAAAGCAAGAAATTGCAAGTAGATAAATAGGTACCAC